ACCGTGTCAATTGGAATTTCTTGGAAAGAATGCTTCAAGCTTATGGTTTTGCTCCAACATGGATTAAGTGGATCATGTCTTGTGTTACCACTGTGAAGTTTGCTGTGCGTTTGAATGGACAGCTGTTAGAGCCTTTTCATCCTTCTCGTGGTCTCAGGCAAGGGGATCCACTATCACCATACTTATTCCTCTTTGTGGCTGAAGCATTGTCGTTGCTACTTAATGATGCTTCGGCAAGAGGGGCTATTCAAGAGTTCCGGCTAAACAGACATGCCCCAGGAATATCTCATCTCCTTTTTGCTGATGATAGTCTCCTGTTTTTTAAGGGTAACTTGGAGCAAGCTCTGAATATTAAAGGCATTTTGTGGGCTTATGAGGAGGGAACTGGACAACTATTAAGTCCGGATAAATGCTCCATATTATTTGGCAAAAATTGTTCTATGGAAGACCAGGTGTGTATTCTGGTTATCCTTAAAATCACGATTGATGGTTTTGAGGATAAATATCTAGGCTTGACTATTCCAGAAGGTCGTATGAAGGCAGGTAAGTTTCAATCCACCAAAGATAAGGTGCTCAAGCGGGTTTCAGATTATATTGAAAAATATGCTTCGAGCGGAGCGAAAGAAATCCAGATCAAGTCTGTTATTCAAGCTATTCCCGTGTTTGCAATGGGTATTTTTAAATTCCCCGCTTCACTGTGTGAGGAGTTATCCCAGATTATCAGGAATTTTTCGTGGGGCGATGAAGAGAATAGGAAAAGAACGCATTGGCTGGCTTGGGATAAGATGACGAGACTAAAAAGTGAAGGGGGTATGGGCTTTCGTGATCTTCGGCTTTTTAATCAAGCACTCCTGGCGAAACAAGCTTGAAGTCTTTTGGTTTTTCCAGACTCTCTGTGTGCTAAGGTGATGAAAGCTAAATACTATCCTCATGGGCACCTTATTGATACGGTATTCCCTCAAGCTACTTCCCTTACTTGGCAAGGAATTATGCATGGCCTTGAATTGCTAAAAAAAGGCATTATTTGAAGAGTGGTCGATGGGACTAGTATAAATATTTGGAGGGATAATTGGATCCCTAGGGAATCTGGCCTACAAATTTGCGGTAAAAAGAGCAGAACTAGGATCAAATTGGTTTCCGAGTTATTTTTGAGTGGATCCAGGAGTTGGGATGAGAACCTGATAAGGCATCTATTTTATATTCATGATGCAGAGGAAATCCTAAAGCTCCGTATTCTTCGAGTGGGCGAGGGAGACTTTATTGCTTGGCACCACGAGAAAAGTGGCTTGTTCTCCGTGAAGAGTGCGTATAGACTAGCTCTGAATCTTAAAGAGCCGAGGAGTGTTTCTTGAAATTCCAGTGATGCCATATATGGGGATAGGCTCTGGAATATTATTTGGAATGCTAATGTCCCCCAAAAAATTATTTTTTTTCTTGGAGGGCTGCTTCTAATAGTTTGGCGGTTCAACTCAATAGGGTTAAACATCATCAAACTACTGTAGGTACATGCTCAATATGTGGTATTGATGATGAGTGTATTTTTCATGCTTTGGTGGTTTGTCCCAAGGCTCGTGCGTTCCGCATGGCTCTGAAGGAAGTGTGGAAATTACCAGCGGAGGAGACCTTAAAATATTCTGGACCGGATTGGTTCCTTATTCTATTGGACCAGTTAACTATGCCTGTTCGTCAGCAAACTATATTCATGTTTTGGAGAGCTTGGCACTTGAGGAATGATTTGATCTTTGGTAAGGGAATGGAATCCATCTCAGCCTCGGTAAGTTCTGTCGAAAATTATTGGGCATCTTTCTCGTCTTGTCATGCTAAAATGCAGGTGGAGATATGCAGTAAGGGAAGCAACTGGAGTTGGATCTTCAGCCAACCAATAACATTGAGAGGCAGGTTACTCTTTGGAGGCCACCTACCCCAGACGTCTATAAGATTAATGTCCACGCAAGTTTTGTGGAGGCCATTGAAGCTGCGAGCGTGGGGGTGGTTGTTAGAAATCACCGTGGACAAGTGATCCTATCCTCCTGGGATTATATTGGTACTTGCTACAGCGTTGAGGAAGCGGAACTTAGAGCGTCCTTGTCCGGCCTATATATTGGTATGACTCTAGACATGCCCGTCATTTTGGAAACTGACTGTTCGTTTGTAGCCTCCGTTTTTGGTAAAGAATATGTGGACAGATCATCCCTTGTTGATCTAAAGAAGGAAGCTGTAGATGTCTCAAAGTTGTTGGTGAATTTACAGATTTCTAAGATTAACAGGAGGGCTAATATGGTGGCTCATGAGATTGCAAAGTTTAGTTTTGATAATATATAGTTCTGATGGTCTTATGTTTCATTCTGTTCCGCCCTGCATGGCAAAGTTTGTAACGAATGATTGTATGAACATTTTAAGTTAATTAATACATGGAGGGGTTTTTCAAAAAAAAAAAGGGAAGAGAGTATCACACTTTCGTTAACGCACATTTGAAACTTAATTGATATCTATCTATAAATTTGGCATATACGCTGTGAATTAGACCTGGTAGGTAGAGATTGCCCTCTGATTACGCGCATGATGCTACGTACGGTGTGAATTGTTCTGTGAGAAATCTCTTGTCTAGCATCAGGCATAGGAATGCATTCATTACTCTGGCAGATTTGGCAGTTCTAAACTATAGGAGTGGAGTGCAGTGAGAGTCAGGCACTCTGTCTATGCATCCATTTAAGTTAGCACTCGGTAGCTGGATTAGAAATTACCCGATCCATTTCGAGAGAAGCAGGAGCACCGGAGCAGCCGTGCTCGACCCAACCAGCGTTCCTGTGGCGGAGCAGGCCGGCAGCAGAGGTGGCTGGCGGCGGTCGGCGGGGGGCAGAGGAGGGATAGCCAGTGCCTCTGCGCCTGTCTGCCTTCGGCCTTCGGACCTCGGTGACGTACTACTGGGCTGGGCCTCGGCCTGAATCTCAAGCCTGTATAATTTGGGGTAGCTTTTTCTTCTCTCAGAAAAAAACTCAGTGTGCTTTGCAAAGGTCATCTTTGATGGTGACAAACCTGGGAGTTTTGCAATTTTTTCACAGGTTTATTTATTTTTAAATGTTTCATCTCTTTTTTAGGGGGACATTTTATATCTTCAACGACGCGTTCAAATCACGAACCGTTTTCATCATTGAATTTCTTACATCGGGGTCTTTAAAACTAGATCTCATGATGATATGTTTTCATGAAATAGTTTTAAAAATAAAAACATAAAAACCGGAAACCAAAAAAAATTCAAATCCAAGAGAATCGAAAACTAGGAAGCACAACTGTGCTTTTCACTTTTTTTTTGAAGTTGTTCCTTACCTTTTCGAGGCGCACAGTTGTGCTTCTCGCACAAATACGGACCGTGCCGCCAGACGCCCCGACTGCCGCGCAGCAGCCCGGCCAGGCCGCCGAGCCGCCGCCGTCCCCCTCCCCCGCACTCCTTGCCCGCCTGCTGGCCAGCTCGGCCTCCGCGCGACCGCGCCGTCCAGGGCACCTCTCCCCTCTCGGCGGTGCGAGCAGGCGTGAGTGCCCTCCTCCTCCGACCTGCGGCCCCTGCCTCCGCCGTGCCGAGCTCCCTGCTCGCATTGTTCAGTTGCTCCGGTGCTCCTGTTCTTCTCCGAATGGATCGGGTAACCTCTAATTTTAGCTCTGGGTGCTGAAAAATCTACGTGTTGAATTCAACTTAAATTTACAGAGTGTCTACGTGTTGAATTCAACTTAAATTTACAGAGTGCCTAACTCTGGCTGCACTCTACTCCTAATTTGTCCCTTGAATTTCAAGATTTGAAGGCGTAGCTATGGCACATTGGCATCGCCAAACACCCCTTTAAGCCGCCGAGGTATCTCGCTGAATTGGGCTTAAAATTGATGCATACACAGACACAGAGTGCCCGACTCTTTTTCAGTGCTAAGATCTGAACAAATTTATGGGCTGCAGCTATGACACACTGCAACATACTACCCCTTTAAGCCACAAGCAACATTGGTGAATCTTGCCTCCAGTCTGATCAAATCTTCTGCCTGAAACGGCAGCATGTTTCACTTTGCCAAATGTACAAAATTCAGAACATGCCAGGCTAATGAATATAATCCTATGCCAGACAAAACAGATTTCTCTATCACAAGTGTAATCAGAGGACAACTGCCAATGCAAATTATGAATGCAACCATCAGATTTAACAACAGAATGCCACCATTTTAACTTTAGGAACAATGAGCTGCAGTGCAGGTGTCTGAACATAGCTACTCTTGTATAGTAAAACACATTCAGAATAAATCAGACAACGTCATCCTTATGCTGCAGACTGAGAACATGTTTTCTCCGGTCCGCACTTCATCACACAGTGGATCGGTATTTCTCTTGATGAAGTATCGGCATTACAACAAAAATTCGAAGAAGCCCAACATCAAGGCCTCTCAGGACAGGAAGATATCTTCCAGTCACCTGAGAAAACTAAGCATAGACTACAACTCACTTGTAACATAGAAACGAACAAACCAAAAGTGTCCTATTCCTTGACACGCAACGCTGAATATTCCCGTTTGATTGTGGAGACTTCTGCATAAACGTCCGGCATTGTCGGTCGATCTTTTGGTGTCTCCGTTGAGCATGAGAGACCAAGCTGAACAAGGTGCGTAATGCAGCTCAGCATCCCCACCATTGCATGGTTTCCTTGGTCAACAACTTCGTCTCCGATGATATTAGGATCAAGTATCTCAAGGATCTTTTCGGGGAATGCATTTCCCACAAATTTCTGAAGGCTCAGGCCATTCTTGAACAACACATCTGTTGGGCGTTTCCCCGTGAGCATTTCTAGGATGATAATTCCATAGCTATAGACATCGCCCGCTGTTGAGATCTTGTTCCCTATGCCATACTCTGCATTGTTTAAATTTCAGTTATCTTAGAACAATGATTATTGAAAACTATAAAAGGTTCCTTTTGAAGAAAGGAGAAGTAAAACTTGAATGATGTTAGGAAGTGAGGAAAGCTAATAATAACATAGTAAAAGTTTACCTGGTGCAATGTATCCAATTGACCCTCTCGGTCCTGCTAAGCTCGTAGAAGTAATAGTACTTGAAGAGTCATGACTTTGGAGGAACTTAGCTAACCCAAAGTCACTGAGACGGGCACCCATGGCATCATCTAGTAGCACATTGCTAGGCTTCAAATCACAATGGACTATAGGGGGCACACAGCTGTTATGTAAATAATCCAATGCAGCAGCTATGTCCACTGCTATTGTTACTCTGGAGCCCAAACTCAATGGTCTTCTTGTTTCTGAATAAATCCAGCTCTCTATGGTGCCATTAGCCATGTATTCAATAATAAGAGCCTTGAAATCATTTCCTTTGTTGTCCCATGTTGAGCAGGCAGAAATCACCCTTACAAGATTATGATGACGAGTGTTTCTGAAGGCCTCACACTCGGCAGCAAAGCTTTTTGGTGCTCCAAGTTGATCAAGCTTGAAAACTTTTACAGCAATAATCATTCCATTTGTTTCAGACTCAAGTACACCCTTGTATACTGATCCATATGCCCCTTAACCAATCAAGTTGTCTGGAGAGAAACCATTTGTCGCTTTGGCTAAATCAGCATATGAGAAGCTCTTCATCTCCGTATATGATGGATGATCTGAATGTTTAGATCTTTTACTCCTCTTCTTCAAGAGAATAAATACTACACATGACATACAGACCAAAGCAAGAGCCGCCACACTGATCCCAGTTATCTTTAGAGTACGCCAAGTGTGCCTGTGTCTGGATGACGCGGAGCAAAGTGGCAGTTGTAGCATCGGGGAAGTGGAACACAACATACTATTCCCTTGGACAAATACCTCACTAGAATTTTCAAATATGCCCCCTTGTGGCATTTGACCGTCAAGGTCGTTGAAGGACAAGTTGAGAAGCTTCAGAGATTTGAAGGACTGGAAAAAGTTCGGAATTTCACCACTCAAGTTGTTTCGAGAGAGATCGATCTCAGAAATACCTCCCAAATTGACGAATCCATCAAGAAAATTACCCTCTAGGTGAAGGGACTCTAAGCGGACACAAGCGCCTACAGTAGTTGGAATGCGGCCGGAAAGACGGTTGTTGGAAAAATTCAGTGGGCCTATATTAATCAAGCCACCAATGAACCTTTGGGCGTGGTTCTGCCGATAATTTAGCATACTAGAGTGTCAGAAAGGAGGGGACGGAACTTCCTCCCCCTCCTCCCGCGACGCTCCCGCGAGCGTCCGGGAGGAAACCCTAGCGCCGCCGCC